TTTCTTTCTTTCTTTCTTTCTTTCTTTCTTTCTTTCTTTCTTTCTTTCTTTCTTTCTTTCTTTCTTTCTTTCTTTCTTTCTTTTACAAAAGTTTGTTTTTACATCATTTTGTACATTTTTTTCCCACCTCAATTGTAATCCCCGCGGGTTTCCCATCACCAAGTCACCCGTGTGCCATCACCATAATCCTATGCACTTCCCTCCCCAGTCCCCAACATGCGACTCTCAGGCTATTTCACACAGGAGTCCAGTTCTTTCTTGACTTCTGAAAGTTCTTTCAGGGGTTCCATCCCAGCCAGGGAGTGACCTCCAGGGCACATCAGATCCCTCCAGTCTCCCCGCTGCTCCCCTCAGCATGTATTTCAATGGATCCACCTGTTCTGTTCCCCACTGTCTCAGGTGAATCCTCTCCCCCCCCCAACTGTGCCATGTACCCAGTTCTTGTATGCATAAATAAATGTTTTTTTTTTTTTTAAATGAATGAAAGCTTTTCCAGCGTTCCCTGTTTAGAAAAGACAGGGTTTCCTGGGGCCCTGAAGCCCCTCCGCCTGTCTCCCTCTGGACTGGTGACCCATGGTGCTCCTGGCTGACGGAGGGAGGTAGGGTCTCGTGTTGGCTTTGCTTGCTGGCTCAGTTTGTCCTGCTATGTTTCTGGGCTCTTTCAGGGACTGCAGGTCCCAGGCAGCAAATGAGACAGCCCTCCTCCTGGGCGGGCTCAGTCCAGCCTGCCAGACCCCCCTATGACAAGTGTGTGCACAAGTAAATGTTGAGGTTGCCTTTGGTCTATTTCGGGTGCTACTATGGTGGGTGCACCACCCCTGTGGAAAGGGACTGCCTGGGAACCAGAGGGCACCTGCGGTGGCCGGGGCTGCGGGTGGCTCTGCTCCTTCTGGTGGGACACGCACCCAGGAGCCGCTAACCAGCTCCAGGGCCCCGTGTGGCTTCCCAAGGCACCTCTGTGCCTTGAAGACGGCCGTGGCTTGTACTTCCCTCTTCACCTTAGGATAAACACCAAAGGCTGACTAGAGACAAACCCGGGGTAAAACCCAGGGGTTTTTTTGTTTCGTTTTCTTTCATCCAAATGACAGCAGAATCCTAAGTCTCCCAAAACACGTCTCACTCCACGAGCAGACTTGCAGGCTCACAGGGACCCCGTGGGGACAGACATGGCAACCCTGAGCAGCTATGGGGAGACTAGATCCGGTTTCCCAGTTGTTCTGATATTTTTAAAGATTTGTTTATTTATGCATACTAAACTGGGGTGCAGGCCAGAGGTGCAGGACATGAGAGGATTCAGCAGACACAGTGGGGAGCAAAACAGGAGGATCCACTGAAATACACCCCTGAGGGGAGCAGCTGGCAGGTCAGGAGGGGTCTGCTCTGCTCTGGAGGTCACTCCCTGGCCGAGGATCGAACTAGTGTTGCAGTGGCAGCGATAGCTTCGTCCTGCTGTCCTTTTACCTGTTGTGCTACCAGGGAGGGCTCTGTTCCGGCCTTTAAAAGAAAACCTATTATGACAATTCTCTCTGTTTTTACCTGTTGGTGACCGCGTTTTCAAGTCAACCTGTGAGCTCATGCAGCATCCCCACGGGCTGGCCAGGGTCAGCCTTCCAGGGACTTTGAGGGCCAAGGAGGAGGCTGCGGACAGGGGAGCGTTTTCTGGAGGCCCCCCCGCCCGCAGCGCCCCTCCCCGCAGCGCCCCTCCTGAGGACAGACGCCAGAGCCCTTGCACAAAGTCCCTTCCCCCTCTGCCCCGCCTGGCGTGCAGGGAGCAGCGGCCCGCCGGTGGGCGTGGCCTCCGCGGGCAGGTGCGGCGGGCCGGGGACCCCCACCCCCGGAACCCTCGAAGCCGGGAACCCTGTCGGGCTGCAGCTGCGTGGGGAACGGGATCCGGGAGGACTTCCTGTTGTCCCTCATCCCCGGCTCCACAGGCCCCCGCCGGTGCCCGCGGCGAGGCTCCCTTCCCGGGGGCCGCCGCCCCCTGCTCCCCACCCCGGTGAGCGGGGCGCT